ATGGTCTCGATCTCCTGACCTCGTGATCCACCCGTCTCGGCCTCCCAAAGTGCTGGGATTACAGGCTTGAGCCACCGCGCCCAGCCAGTGAGGTGACTTCTTAACTTAAAAACAATATATATTTCTCTCCATTTACTTCCTCCCTATGAAATCTATGAACATTTTACAAGTCCCAGAGACTTGTAAATCTTGGACTGATTAAATACTTTATGGTACATCTGTACAATGGAACAACAAGAATTTGGAGGAGCTAAGTTTCTAAGCTACAGTGAATCCATGTATTCCATTTTGTAATCTACACTCTTATAATGTCATCTATTACTCAACAAACCCCAAAGCTGGGACTTCCCAGGTCTTAGGAAATCCACACAGTGATACTCTCAGGAAATTTGCTTGCCAAATTAGACTACTTCTATTTCAAACAGAATAAAGAAACAAAGAAAAATATACCTATTGAAAGTAAAGGAGGGATGAAAGGTTAGATATATCAGCACTGTGAATTAGAAGGCTAGAAAGGTAAAATGGATGAGCCTGTGTTTAGCATTGAGTTTAGGTTTGTTCATTCTCTACCCAATCAATCACAATTTTTCAGCAGCTAAATGGTGTGGTGCATGGTCGCTGTCAACCTCTGTGCAATATTTCATACAAAAAAGACAGAATCATGAAAATTCTAAGAACTTAATAGGAAAGAATTTCACTTATGCCATTCTATATGCTATTTTTATTACAATCATTGCCGTGTAATCAGGTTGTGTTTGCACTGTTCTCATCATATTCATATTAGAAACATTTTTATTATATCTTATCAGAGAAAATGAGTGCTCTTGATGTGAATGCTTTGTTTCTTGAAAAGCATTTTCACATTCTCCTGATGCTATGGCTTTATCTATGCACAAGTTCCACAAAGCTGCCATTTCATCTGTCTCTTCGGGTCGGCACCCGCAACCAGAATGGAAAGGTTTCAGGAAGACTTAGGAGCTGACGAGGAAGACAGAACATGTCTTAACCGTGTGACTCTGTAGGAAAGGAAGGTGAGTTCTTACCTGGTCTTTGCTGAGAGTAACCATGCACTGGTAAGCAGCATCTGCTGATGCAAATATGTGGGGGGGATTAGAGGCACGTTTCACCCCATGATAAAGTCTGGAAAACTGAAGGAAAAATAATTAAAGGAAACTTTCCCCTGGACCATCTAATACTCCACTACCTATTGCCCATGAAACCAAGACTCTGTCACTTATTAGGGGACTTGTTGCATTAGGAAGACTGTAGGGTACAGGTTCTGGAGCCTGCAGGCATGAGTTCAAATTTCACTTCTGTACTTACTGGCTTCGTGAGCTAAGAGGGAGCCACTCTATGCTAAGTATCCTCGTCTGCCAACTAGGTTTAACAACAGTACCTGTCCCACAGGGTGTGAAAAGTGAGGTAACCCAGTGTCCAACATGCAGTAAGCACTCAATAAAGATTGTTATAGTTTGCTTTAAAAAGGTATCCTCAAGATGTAAAACTTCCATTTGTATTACATTACTATCTGCAGTTTGGAGTATATGCATCTAGGGTAGCATAATTTTATTCTTACTTTTTATTTCTTTTCATTTGGCCTTGTGAGTTTTAATTTCCTATTAAGGAGCAGTATGCTCTTAAAACATCTCTTACCTGTGGAGAGTATATGCTTAGATTCTGGAAGGGGTTTAAGGCAATTAAGATGTCTCCAACATATGTGTAAATTAGCAAGTCTGCATAACGTTTCTGCAACTGATGGATAATTGTATCCTAAGAAGAGGACAAATGGTATTGAGAGTAAATATTATTTCCAATCAAGGGATAGATTCTAAAAATGACAACGAATTTATTCTTCCAAGAACATCTTTCTTTAAAAGATGAAAGTAGTTCATTTAAATCATACAATGACCCTAACGATCCTAATTCATTAAAACAATGCCAATATTTGCCTTGAAAGAAAAAATAGGAATACATTGAAAGAATTAGGCCTACTTAGGACTTGCTAAAAGACACTGAGATATCCAAGAAAGATTTTACTTGTTATTGTGAAAAGAACTCATCTCAACCAGTCAGAATGTTGTATTTAAAATTTTATTTAATAGGCTGTTCCTACTGATAGAGCACAGACAAAATGGTAAGTTAATTTCTCAAAGCACTGCACTAAAAACCTAGGTGGCATAAATACAGAATTAAACACTTTTTATTACACTTTAGTGATTTAGACATTGAAAGTAAGAATCCCCAGAGTTAGACTCAGCATAAACAGGTCCAGTGCAATTAACAGCACTATTAAACATGCATATTTTAAGTAGGGATTATCAGAGACTTCGAATTTAGAATTCAAGCTATATTAACTTCATGATTTCCCTAAATGAAGCTCTTTCTTATGAAGAACAAACAACTTCTTAAGGGTTAATTGAAATATTTTGTCAAATTTTATCAAACAAAATATTTTCAGCTGATACAATCCACCATTAAGGCTACACTATAAAGAGCTTTATTGGAAAAATCCAAATCCTTTTCTCTTCATGATTCTAGGGGCTATCTAAATAAACACAGCACAGGATCATGGTCACAGTGACTGAATGCTCCCTGAGCTTCATCCCATGGCTACACAAACCATTACATTTTCAAATGACCTGAGGAGGACATGCTCTACAACAGAAAGGTCAGACCACATGAAACAAATGTCTTCAATGAGAATTGTCTACTAAATATTTAGTACCTCATCCAGAACCTCTAGATTGACCAAATCATCCTCAAGGCAGTATTTTTCAGCATCTTCCACATGATAAGGTCTTCTGGTATGCATCCTCTCATGCCTAGAAATTTATCAAGAGAGTTTAAGCATTAAGACAGCAAATAATGTAGCAGAAAGTGGGCAGCAAGGATGGCTCATTCACAATCTTATCACATGATATGTTCAGAGACGTCAGCAACAGGGACAGGAAGTCCGGTCCAGGTCCCCAAGCTTCTCCTGCCACTGTAGAACTGTTGGGATAAAGTGATCTCCATAGTTCAGGTCTACTTTCTGCCAGAGTGAGGAGTGTTACCAAATGGGCTCACCTAATACACGTATTTGCTTTTCTTAAACGCCAAAGACAGCACTTCCAGAATAAACACCTCTGATTTCTGCTCAGTGTCAGGCACATGGTTCTTACTGGGGTACAGCCTTAAATGCCTTACTTCCCTTGAGGTCCCCTTGCTCTATCTACCAGTACCACCCCCAACTTTTGTGATAGTTTTTAACCTACATAACACTTCCAGAGATTAATATAGTAAACAACAAATAATTGATCATTGTTTATGATTTTTCTTATTTATTTAAAATCCCTTTGTGACCCTTGTCCCATCCCACTCCTCTCTCATGAGGTGACCACTATCTGATGGGTTTCCTTCCAGTCTATTTTCAAATATTAGTCAGAGGCATATACGTACCCATCAGCAATATACAGGTTCTGTATGTTTAGTTATAAAAATGATATCATACTTAGGTTTTATAATGTAAGCTTACTTTTTTCATTAAACATGATGATTTGTAAAGTCTATTTATCTATCTATCTACCTATCTACCTTACCCACTTACCTACCTACTTAGTTCAGTCACTTTAATCACTGGGTAGTATTATGCTTTATGAATATGTACCTATTTATTTACTCAGTCCTATGGGGGGATCACGTTGGCTAGAAGAGCTCTGGACCCTAGTTTCAGAGTTGCGAGCATTGTGGTATGAGACACTCAGCAAATCCCTTAACAGCCAGTACATCAGTTTTCTTCATCTGTAAATAGAATTACTCATGACTGATCTGTCTATCTCCCAGGTAGCTATGAAACCACATATAGTCATGGATATAAAAATGCAATAAAGTTGAAAACATGTGCTAATTATTATTCTTACATCCTTGTTAAAATTTGGAATCAATTTGCATAACTACACACATTACTCCAAATATCACTGACTAAACAAAATCATACATAAACTGTCCTCCTACATACTGTAAATTCACTAGCCCAGAAGCATAACTTCTTGGTTCTTCTCTATCACTTTTATGCCCATCATCATCACAGCTTATGAGGATATCACCCACCATCTAGCTAGATCCTAGAAGCTGGTGTTGACTGAAAGTTTTATGGTAAGTACCAGCTAGAAGTCATGGAATCTTGATGCACACCCCACCCTTTGGCATGCATTTCACAGAAGTAGGTAAAGAGGAAGAAGCAAACTTATCAGCTCTTCATATTGAGTCTTGAGTTTATAATGAAATAGAAATGGCCAGATAAAACTGATTTCTCTCTTTCTAGCCTATTACAGTAAATCTTACTTTTCAGTCTCCATCACTGATAAATTTGAAAAGGGATATTTGAAGCATGCTATTAGTCATCTCCAGTCCTAGAACCAGTTTTGCTGCTAATTCATATAAAGGTCCAAAGTAGAATGAAGCTTAATTTTTATTTAATCAAATCAAATTTATAACCTAAGCATTTTAAAATTATTAAACATAATTATTTATCTGTGTCTTTACATATTGGTGATGGCAAAGAAAAATCAAATTGGTTTGTAATACAGATTTTTACTAAAACTCAAGAGCTGCTGCCTGCCTCTAGCTAGCCATTTTGTTAAATAAAACAGCAGGAGGAAACATATTTCTGATCAAAATCCCCTTCACATAAAACCTAAGAATAATTTTGCTTGAAGTTACTCAAAAAACAAAATATTGGCCGAGCGTGGTGGTTCACGCCTGTAATCCCAGCACTTTGGGAGGCCTAGGCAGGCGGATCGCAAAGTCAAGAGATTGAGACCATCCTGGCCAACATGGTGAAACCCCGTCTCTACTAAAAGTACAAAAATTAGCTGGGCATGGTGGCTTGCGCCTATAGCCCCAGCTACTCAGGAGGCTGAGGCAGGAGAATTGCTTGAACCCGGGAGATGGATGTTGCAGTGAGCCGAGAACAAGCCACTGCATGCCAGCCTGGCGACAGAGCAAGACTTCGTCTCAAAAAAAAAAAAAAAAAAAAGAAAAGAAAATCAATAATTAAAAATTTATCTCAGATCTGATTCTGGTCAAGATGGAGTAAGCACTCTCCACTCTTGTCTCCTCATTGAAGATAACCAAATACCCTGGAAGGAATGCATGGAGTAGCTATCTTAAGACTCTGAGAAGTAAATTGTAACAGGCAGATTGGGGAAAGAAGTCAGAATTCAAAATACCACTGAACCAGTGGTGAGTTTTCCAGGGTTTTTTTTTCCTTCAGTAACCTGACCTGGACTTAATGGCAGCCTGAGCTCCTTCAGGAGTACCAACCTTCACATTGGATGACATTTTTATAGCCAACTAAAAATGGAAGCATGGACAAAACCTTCCTTGCAGTCTCACAAACAGATGCAGTCTAGTAGAAAGTTTTAATTTTCAGTGTGAATATACACAATGCAATATCACTAGGATCAAAACTGGTATCTTCTGAGCCTGAAGCAGACTGTATGCTATGCCAATCTGTCTCACAGATATAACTTCCAAGAATCATGCAGATGTTGTCTGTAAATCTGAGCTTGACTCCTATAAAAAATCTTCTCCAATAATATTGTATTAACAAAAAATAACTTTTAAAAAATTTTAACTGCCTCTTTCCTTACTTACAGGCGATCACATTCTTTAGAAATACTTGCTCCTAAAAGTGAAATAGGCAATCTAGAAGTGGATGTAGAGGCAAGACTTCTCTACTCTGATAAAGACCACTTCATTCTCTCAACCAGAAAAAAAAATATGTATGTGTAACACTATTTTTGCTTTCCCCAGCTAGTGTTATTTGGAAACTGCCGCCTGCTTAACTTTCTTCCTCTGGCTATGGGGTCTGGAGGGTCTATTGTAGAGAAAAAGCATTATTTATTTCAATTTTTATCTCCTTTAAAAACATTATCCTAGACTTTACATAAGCTTATAAAAAGTGTTACATTGTTTTATATTTCTCTATTTTTAGTTGAAATTAATAAAAATAAATTTGGTTTAATTTTTTTCAATTTTATTAAGTGATTTGTGTCATTAGTAACTATAGATCTTAATTTCCTTTAAATTCACATGCTCCACCTAGTGTGCCACTTGAGAATAGCATCTATTATCAGTTTTTGCTGAAGAATTCCCCGTTTAATGTGAAAATTACAGATGTCCAACTAAAAGCTACTTGGATTGAGTATTCCAAAGCTCAGAGGAATGAAGACATAGATAAATGAATGGATAAATAGCAAAAAACATTCTACTAAATCAAAAGTATGTGGTAAGGCACTGTCGTTTTAATGGCTCAGAAGATGTTTTCAAATTCCAGTAAAGTTTATATTGCTTTTCGTAGATTTCCTGCTTGTTTTTATGAGTCTGTAAGTATGTTGGCTACCAAGGCTGGCTTCTCAGACAAACAGAGTTTGCGAGTTGGAGCTTAGAGGGAAAGTCTTGGCTTGACCTGGTTCCTGGAGTTTGCTTTCGGTGAGGCAGTGGAGCGGGAGAGTGTGGAGAGCAGGACTGGTCTTAGGTTTCAGGGATCAGGTAAAGGGGAAACTGGTGCCTGAATCCATGGATCAAGTAGGGTGGGAATGAGGGCAAGTCTGTACCATCAAGTCCAAGGAAGTGGGTGCAGCATAAGAATGGAATCGGAAGAACGGGAAAGACAGAGCCAGAGGTAGAGGCTGGGAGTTCCCCTAAGACAACAGTGAGCATAGATGAGGTAGAGGATGAGGGTCTTTGTTCAAATCTTTGGCCCAGCCAGTGAGTGGGAAAGGAGCTTCAGAGGGCACCAAACTGGCTCAAATACTAGAGGAATTATTCTCATGAAATAAACTCCTAAAGTGTTGCAGCTTTCACTCTAGTTTAATCTCTATATCTGCATTATGGTTAAAACCATTTCTGTGTCAATGCTCTCTAATATCCCATCACTGGGCCTGCTAGCTTCTTTGTTTGAGCTGCTAGTCCTATGAACTATATTGACAAACATATTTTGCCCAAAAGTGACTCATTAATCAATTAGCCTCTTTCTGTCTGCCAATTACGCCTGTGGAATTGGAGGCTTCCATGTAAGTAGATACAAACAGGGCTGCAAGAACTTCATGTAGGTGAGACAGGATATGTTCTTCCCTTCACTCCCCAGCTATGAGGAAGAAAAGGTGCAGGCTCGAAGATGTCAGTCCTCAAGAATCTAGGACAAAAGCCTCTATGGCCATAGAGAGAACCCAGGGATCACTCCCTTATCACTACATCCAATGGATTCCATAAAAGAATGAAAACATTACTCAAAACTGAGAACGGAGTACTGTTACTACACGAAGGTCAGTGATGTTGACTATTTCTTCTAAATCTTTATTTCCATTCAATACACCCTTTGATAACAGAGACAATGAAAGAGAAATGTTTATTTTACTATAACTCTATAATAATGGACCTAGAATGAGAAAAACAATAGCACACCATTGAGGAGTGACGTTATTCTACTGAGAGTCAAATATGGACAGAGACACCAGCTGGATACCCTTAACTATGTGAGCTGTATCTTGCCCCTGAACTTAAGGCTCTATCTATCAAACAATACCATGCATAGATTTTAAAATAGGATAATTGTTTGGGTGGAACTTATTCTAGTATCTGTCCATTTTTCATCTAAGCACAGTTTTGGCCAGAATCCCAATAAATCATCATCTTATCATTCATCATATTAAACAGTATTTGATATACCCAACTTCTCTAAGCAGCAAGAATTAGTAACACCAGCATAAAATTAATATTAACGAACTTATTTGCTCATTTGTAGATAGATAGATATAGGTATACATAGATAGCAGAT